AGTTATAAAGTGTTCAAACGAAGGTGCACATATATATATATATATATATATGTAAAAATATATAAAAATGGTTGATAAATAGATAAAGATACTGTTAATTAATAATATTAAATAACATTTGTGTTTAAAATAAAACATAAAATTAATAAAAAATAGACCTTGACATTAGTGATTTTTTTTATATATAGAAAATAAAATTGTATCTGTAAATAAGGATGGGCAGAGATCGAATATTTCAGTATTTGAAGGTATTTGTGTTAATTCGATCTTTAGCCATTTGGATATTCTGTGATTCAGAAATCTATTTTTTTAGAATTTTAAAGAATATCCGACTTGATCCGTAAATAAAATAAAAATTTAAAAATAAATAAAAATCTAATAATAATATTTTCTAAGAAAATTAAAAATTATTTAATTTTTAGATTCTAATCCTAATATAATAAATTTAATACGTAAAATATTGTAAAACTTATATAAACTATAATATATATAACATATATATAATTTGCATATATGTATATATATGCATATAACGGAACAAATTGGATATCCATTCATAAAAATATTGGTATTTGTGATTTGCTTTCTTTTTAGATATTATATTTTAGTATTTGATTTGCTTCGTAGAGTTACGGATATACATATTTTTTTGATTTAAATCAAAATGGATAACGAATTAAATCTAAATTTATGAATATATTTCTAAGTTTTATCCATATACAATATATATATATATATATATATATATCTTAGTTTTTGATTTGTAATATGTTTTGATTCAAACCAAAAAAACATAGTTTTAATGGGCATACTTCCGAATTTAAATTGAAAAAGATAAAATATATAGTGTGAATATATTTATGAATATAGTGGAAATATGTCATTATATTTATTATTAAATTTTTGTAGTGCTATCACGTGTCTATTATAGTGTGAATGTACTTTTTTTAGAATGTTTCTCCTTTATTATATAAGGGATACTTGTTTAAGAGGTTTTGTCTCTCTTTTGTTTATTGTGAACCGATGACGCAAGTGCTCTTGTCGTTTACATCATTTCCTAGAGATGGCACCATATTAAAATTAGGATGGTTGTAACTTTACAGAGAAAATCCACTTTTAATTGGATAAATTATATAGCACAGATTTATGTATACAAGATTAATAATGTGATTTGTGTTAATAAAAAAGAAAAGTTATTAGATATATATATATATATATATATATATAAATTGGATAAATTATATAGCACAGATTTATGTATACAAGATTCATAATGTGATTTGTGTTAATAAAAAAGAAAACTTATTAGATATATATAAAACTTGGCTTAGACTGTATAAACGTGATTATATATATCAGTTATTTTCTGAGAATGTGATGTTTTGTTTCTTTGTCATTCCATAAAATTCTCAATATTAAACGACATAAGAAATTTGAGAAGAAGAATAATATAATATATATAATGTTAATTAATATTTGAATGATCATATAGAACTAAGTCTATAACGTTATTATCTTAATTTAAAAACAAATATTAGCTTATATTACTTTAATACAATGATCAAAATTTCTTTAAAATTTCAGTAGAGTATCTTATTAACACATATATAATTTTATAAATATAATAATATAAATATCTTGAAGCGTAAATTATTATTGCTAATGTCCAATAATGAGTTATATATATTTTCCTATATATTTCATTCTTTTATATATTTAACTTCACAATTTTGAGTCTTGAGTAATATATTTTCCTGTTGAAGATAAAATATATTAAAGAACCTTGATATTCATACTTTTCTGAAAAGATTAATACGAAATGGGAATAACCTTTACCAAAAACAAAAGGAAATGAGAATAACCACACGATAACATCCATATCTTACAGTAAACAAAAATATAAGGATATTAGGATATACGTAAACTGGTATCTCACTTTTTGAGAAAGGTGGAATCCTCATCCTACACACACTCTATATATGATTAGACGATCCTTTCGGGAAAGAGCTTGATCCCATGAACAGACGAAAGAATATAATCAAATCCAAATTGTTTATGTCGATAAGCTATTAAGCATCTACAAATAATATAATTGACTAATTACTTATTTGAATGTTGACAGAATAATTAGTTCACACCGCTTGTTAATCTATTGAACCTTTAGAAGAGTTGGTTGAAAAAAAGACTTAAAAATGGAAACAAGTGGGACATGTCACACGCACTTTGCTAAGATATATTCATTATTCGATTTATTATGCTATATATTTTTATTTATTATTATGTACTATATTACACTTTCATCATTCTGATCCGATTTCAAGAGGTGAATGTTACCAAGGAATTTTAAAAATGATTAACTGTGTGATTGAATCAGCCTGGCTTGAATAAGTTTAGCTTTTTAAAAGAGGTGGTTTCAACTTATATTAAGTATAATACATCAATTGTCTTCTATTGCCAACTAAGAATGTCGTCGCCTAACACACCTTTTTTTATTAATGAAGTATTGTTCTTATTAGATACAAAATATCTCACACCAGAAATTAAAAAGAATATTAACTAGTGTATAAAATTGAAGTGGATTGCTAGTGTATAAAATTGAAGAGTCAATCCACTGATCACTATCTGGTTATAGATTGGAAATCTTTCTAGTTTAATATGGTATCAATCCACAAAGTCCAACTCGATCTTCATCGATGTGGTCCAAAGATGATCCATCGATCTATCCAAACATTCCAAAATTAACTCTAAAGAGCTATCATCTCAAAAAGACGTATTAGATTTGATTTTATACTAAAAATCTATCTAACTTAATAGTTCTTGTCGGTTTCAAACTTTTAATATATGCAAATTTTGACGAATTATTGACTAAATCGTTTATGTATATATATATTGACAATTATTCAAGTATGATATATGTTTTCTAGTTTATAATGTTTGAACCTAATATAAATTCTTATATAGTTGCGACAATATACATGCCAAATTTGGTCACTCAAACGTAACATGGCTCGTAGTGAATAATATATATTATTATTTATGAATTGTTAAGTTTATTTTTCACGGATACGGATGCCCTTTATCAAATAAAAAATTTAATTTTCACATAAGTTTTAACTTTTAAAATAGATGCTATATAGATATCAAAGGAAGAAGATATTTCACTCAACTCAATATAATTAGTTATTATGAGTTCGAGTTTTTTCATTAGGTACTTCAGCTCATATTATTTATCATATAAATTTTGGTGTGTAAACTAGAACTCAGATTATCTTGAAAAAGATTTAAATAAATTAGTTCACGATCTAAAATATAATAAAATATTACAGTAAAGAGTATTATATGTAAGATAATTATGTTTTCTGAAGTATATTAGATAATTTTTATAACAATATTTATATATAATTTATATTTATATTAAAAACTAAAAAAACTACTCAGATTATCTTGAACAAGATTTAAATAAATTAGTTCACGATATAAAATATAATAAAATATTAAAATAAAGAGTATTATATGTAAGATAATTATGTTTTCTGAAGTATATTATATAATTTTTTATAACAGTATTTATATATTATTTCTATTTATATTAAAAACTAAAACAATTTGAAGTGTTTTTAGTTAAAAGATTTAATAACCAATCAACCAAAAGTTTTTAAAAACCAAAGATATATAAAACTGATATATACATTTTTATATGACGAGTTAGATCATGTTCATTAAAACTCACTCATATAACTGTGCACTCAAACTAAATTGATAGGTAAAGTCATTTAGTATATGAATTTGTAAAACATAGTTCATATTCATAGAAAACTAAGTTGTATTAATGTAGAGAATAATATAACGGCTCATCTTGATACTTCTATATTGATGTAATGAATATATATATCTATATATATATATATATATATATATATATATATATATATATATATATATATATATATATATATATATATATATATAAAGAATTTGTTTAATATCAAATGATGTTTTCAGTTTTAGTGAAAAATAATATCTTAAACATCACTTATAGACTGAGCTAAAGAGCAAATGATCACAATATATATACTAATTTGTATACGTTCATGAACTCAGAGAGATAGATTAAAAGAGGAGCCGCCATTTCCACTTCTCACTCCCACTTTCCACATCTCTTTAATGGGCAATAGATCAAAAAGCATAATATCTTAATTATAATACTAATAAGTTTATTCTAATTCCATATAGATTGTTCCTCTATGATATCAATAATAATTTCCTAAGTGAACTTGAGAAACGACTGATTAAGTTGAAAGTAATTAAGAATAATCTCTTCATTATTCGAATCATATTTATTAACTAATAGTTTGATCATTTCATTTTTGTTCGTGTAAATCTCACAATATAAATAATTCTTCTAGATGCGTATATTTGTCTACTGCAAAATTGACTAAACAAATAATATGTTCCAAGTTGAACCAAGACGATCAAATTATTCTAAGAAAAGGGAATATTGGGAAATAACATATTTCATAGGGAATTACCGAATTAATACAATGTCCTTTTAAACTCTCTCCAATAATACTATTTTGTAGATTTCTAAACGGTCTGAACCTAAATAAATCATTATAGATAAATATATAGATATATATATATATATATATATATATATATATATATATCAAGACGTAAATAATAGTAAGTAATTTTCAAAAACTTTTAAAATCTCTCCGTTTGAAATATCTCCAAATTGGAAAACTCCTGATAGTTTCCGAAGCCAGCAAAATAATAAAATTGATAGCTGCTATGTTCTTTGCTTATACTTCACGTCATATATTTAATCCTATAAGATTATTAAATAAAATAAAATCCTATGTCCTCGGAAAATCTGCTGACTTTTTTTAAATTGCAACAGTCACCTCTTCCTCTATATAAAACCCTAGCTACTTCACACTTGTTTTCAGTTCTCTCTATCTCTTTCCTCTGTGTTTAGAGTTAGTGATTAAGTAAAGAATATGACGGCGGTTGTGGAGGTTAGAGAATACGACCCGAGCAAGGACTTAGCTACCGTGGAAGACGTTGAACGGCGGTGCGAAGTTGGTCCGACCGGAAAACTCTCTCTCTTCACGGATCTCTTAGGTGACCCGATTTGCCGTGTCCGACATTCACCTTCTTACCTCATGCTGGTAATTTCTAGAACCCAATTCTTATCCAAAAATAAACAAAACCCATTTTCTCAAATTGAAGTTATTCAAAAAAAAATCAGAAAATTCTGAAGCTTGAATTAAATGAGAGTTTTGAAGTTATAGGACGTTCTTTAGTAATCATCAATCAGTTAGAGAGAATTCTTTTTGTTTTATAATACTTATGAAGCATATCTAAGAACCAACTTATGAACAATGTTGATTTTTTTTTTCTTTTAGTGTTAGACAATTAAAAACCTCTTTTTCTAAGATGAAGTTATTCGAACAGCTTACTCATTATGAAGTAAGTACACAAAAATTAAATCTAACCAAAAGGGTTTACTGTGTGCTTTGATTTACTTTAGTAGTTTGTTGTTTAATTAAAAATGAGGAATAAAATTAAATCTTTTACTAAAATTTGAAACTTTTTACAGGTGGCTGAGATTGCTACAGAGGATAAGAAAGAGTTAGTTGGAATGATTCGAGGATGTATCAAAACCGTTACATGTGGTAGCAAAACACTCGATGTTACTACCAAACCACTTTACACTAAACTCGCATACGTTTTGGGCCTCCGCGTTTCTCCTACTCACAGGTTCGTTTTTAATTTATTTAATGCACGTAGCTAAGGCTAATTAATAACTAATTATAGGTAATTAATGTTAATCACGTCACACTTTTAACTACGCAGGAGGCTAGGAATAGGGTTTCAGCTCGTGAAGGAAATAGAAAAATGGTTTAATCAAAACGGTGCAGAATATTCCTACATTGCTACTGAAAACGACAATCACGCTTCCGTTAATCTTTTCACCGGAAAATGTGGTTACACTAAGTTTCGTACCCCGTCCATTTTGGTCAACCCGGTTTACGCACACCGGGTCAACATTTCTAATCAGGTTACGGTTCTCAAGCTTGAACCGTCGGATGCTGAGACACTATACCGGCTAAAATTTAGCACAACCGAGTTTTTTCCTCGAGACATCGACTCTGTTCTTAATAACAAACTCTCGCTTGGAACATTCATTGCTGTTCCACGTGACAGCTGTTACGGGTCCGGGTTAGGGTCATGGCCTGGTTCAGCTAAGTTTCTCGAGTACCCACCTGATTCTTGGGCGGTTTTAAGCGTGTGGAACTGTAAAGACTCGTTTAGGTTAGAAGTTCGTGGTGCATCAAGACTACGACGTGTGTTGGCCAAAACAACGCGTTTGGTGGATAAAACGCTACCGTTTTTCAAAATTCCGTCTATTCCAGCGATTTTTCAGCCATTTGGACTGCATTTTATGTATGGCATTGGTGGTGAAGGACCATGCGTGGAGAAAATGGTGAAAGCGTTGTGCGGCCACGCGCATAACCTGGCGAAAGAAGGAGGATGTGGTGTCGTGGCGGCGGAAGTGGCCGTAGGAGAGCCGGTCCGGAGAGGGATACCACATTGGAAGGTGCTATCATGCGATGAGGACTTGTGGTGTATTAAACGGCTTGGGGACGATTATAGTGACGGTTCTGTTGGTGACTGGACTAACTCTCCACCTGGCAATTCCATTTTTGTTGACCCTAGAGAATTTTGATTTGTCAAATCAGATTATGTTAGAAAAAGAATATTTATCTTTCATGTCAGTTAGATGTCTTTTAACCTTTGGAATGAATGATGTAGTAAGATTCTTTTAAATATATAACTTATTTAAAAGAGATTCGAAGGTATATTTCTTTTTGGAAAATCGAAGGTAGTATTTTATAAGAAAATCTTGGATGAAATATCCCTTGTTTGAAGAGAATTTGTTTTTGTTTAAACAATTTTAAATTCAAGTAACATTTTTTATAAAATTGAAAAAGTAAGGGTTTTAACTCGGGATGCCCCATACCCCTCTAAAAAATTCTCCTTTAACCTTTTATTATAATATTATATATTTTTTATTTAAATTTAAATCGAAAAAGTGGCTAATTACGGTTTTAATATAAGGACATGAGTTATTTACAGGATCCAACCACCAAGATCCGACCCAGACCAAACAAACCGGACATATCCGACCCAGAT